TGTAGAGGGTTTTTGGTGATTTGGAAAGTTACAGGCTCAATATAGGGCTTGCCCAATTCAGTTTGCAAGATTGTGTGTGTATATATTTATATGTATATACATATATATTTATATACACACACACACATAATACGTGTGTATATATATATATATATATATATATATATATATATATATATGTGTGTGTTCAGGGCATAGACAGCTGTTATGACAGTATATAACTTATACCATATGAGAACATAGAAAATATGAACAGTCGGTTGTGGTGTGCCGAATCCGACGATGCGGTAGGCCTGTAATAAAAGAGGGCCCACCCTGAGTATTATTGTTATGAAAGGGAGCGGTGGGAGGGATAAATCGCCAGACCAACAATGGTAATGAGGAGGGGTCTGGTGGTCCTTAAGTAGGGAAATCATGCCCCTCCCACAACTACAGGCCCATCCTTCTATTTGTGTTCAGGGAATAGAATGCAGTAATGACAGTATATAACTTATACCATATGATAACATAGAAAATATGAACAGTCGGTTTTGGTGTGCCGAAACCGATCATGTGGTAGGGCTGTAATAAAAGAGGGCAAAAAAGAGTATACCATGCAAGATTTATTCAGCCTACAATGACAGTCATATAGCATATATCATATGTTCATGTTCCAAAATGCTTCACGTATTTCCTGTATTGGATGGGGTATGTATCTGGTATATGCCAATGAAATCCACCGTCCCATTGTCTTGATATGTACCGGTATGTTTCTGCTGTGAGCAGTGGTGGCTGCTCCAATGCGGAAGGAGTGTCCTGAGTAGTGGGATTTATTAAGACCTAAGCTAGCCAGCAATACTCTAATATAGAGCATGAATTTACTAATAGTGAGAGCATTGCCATTTAAAGTAAACAAAAGTTGGTTAGGAGAACCTTGAACAGCGCTTAGGAATTTATATAGGACTTGTACCGGGCAACATTTGTTGCTGGTGGGGTAAAAGGGATCTTTACCAGTTGATCCCTCGGTGTGGTTTTAGTGTGGTTGAGGGATAATATGTAGTAAGGGAGTCAGCGGTAAGTAAAGGGATAAACATGCTTTTCCCATTCCATCTTTTGAGAAATTCCTGCGACATGTGTAAATCCGTTGTAGCAGGCCTGTCTAGTGTAATGCACAAAATATCAGACTGAAAGCGGGGAAACAGATTGAGTAGTCTAGATATGAAACCCCTGCCCTGTGGTATAATTTTTATGGCAAAGTTGAGGAAGCCTAGCAGAGACTGTAATTATGTACGATTACAGGATCCATCAGAGAGATATAAGTCGATGCTAAATAGGATGCACTCAATCCTATCTCTAGGCAAACTGGCAAGCATATTGACCAAATCTAGTGTGATACCCAGGAAATTAATCAATGTGTCTGGTCTTTCTGTCTTTTCAGGGGAGAAGGGGACCCCCAGGCATTGGAATAGCTGGATTGTGGTTCTCAGGCTACTAGGTGGGAATAAGTTGCTCTCAATAGTCAAGAAGTCATCCAACTAGTGAATAACTGTGGGGCATCTACAGATATTGAGCAGTAACCAGCATAAAGTCTCAGCGAAGGTATAAAAAATCCTGGGGCTACTCTTTGCACCAAAAGTAAGACGAGTGAAAAAGTAATAAGAACCTTGCAACTTAACACCGTGTAGATGCCACAAAGAAGGATGTATTGGGAGGAGCTTGAAGGCGTTTATGATGTCCATCTTACTAAGCCATGCCCTCTTCCCTGCTGTCATGATTGCGTAAATGGTGTTATCAATAGTAGCATATTGCAGGGAAAATTCCTCTGAAGGAACGAGAGAGTTCAAACTGGGGGTCGTGGAAGAGTGGGGAGCAGAGAGGTCGACAATCAACCTTTGCTTGGCTGAACTTTTACCAGAGACCATTCCCATAGGGTTAGTTCTCCATGCTGAGAAAGGTGGGGAACTGAATGGCCGAAGTAGGAAACCTTGATCTAATTCAATCTGTAACAGATTGTTAACCGCTATTGGATTGGCGAGGGCGGACAGTAGGTTCTTACATTCTACAATGCCGAATGGCATGTAAATGATTCCCGACACCAAAACCTCCACCAAGTGGGGTGAGGGATGGTTCTGTAGTAAGTCAGTGAAAAAAGTCACATTAATTGAGGCCATGTAGGGGTTGGAAAACAATTTGTTTGGACACATCATCTTGGCATGTTCCCGGAAACAAAGAGAACACACATGCAATACCCGGCACGTGCTAAATCCACAGGAACCTGCATTGAAGTTATTGCAAATCTGATCGGATTTACCAAGGAAAACAATATTATGGCCAAGCTTGTCCTTAATCACTTTCTCAGGTTTAGCTGAGGAAGTAAGGAATGGAAAGGCAGCACCCAGCTAAGGGTATTAGGACATCAGTTTGTGGTGTGTGAGGACGAAGAGCAAACACCACAAGCAGGGGACCTGAGGCCCGCGAAGTGCTGGCAAAATAGCTCTGTATCCAACTGGCTCCAGTCTGTCTGAAAATTGAACTGAGCCATGGCTGCAGATGCCTTTGCGGAGAATGATCTGTGGTAATCATAAAATTACGTACCTCCATATTTATGCCCCAGGTCAACCAACTTGCGTAAATACAGGTCAAACCCTCTCTGCGTTCAGGATAAACTGAGCACACCACGTCCCTATAGATACCAAAAGCCAGGGATTGACAACTTCCTATTCAACCTGGGGTCCCTAGCCTTCAGTACGACCAAGACATCACCATAGGAATATATCTTGTTCTCCAGGATATCTTGGGAGGCAATCAGAAGCGAAACTAGATTGACATCCTGGACACTACTGGGGCCCTCGCCAGCCCCGGTATTATCTGTGTTGGTGTTGAGCAGTCTATATAGTTCTGCCTTCCTGGCAATGGCAGGATAGAGAATATTGCTGCACCTTAATTCGCCTGTGATCCTGGGTATGGTCTAGGACCTGAGGGAAGACAGGTTTGCATTGTCCCCTCCATGAGATGGAGAGATGGACCTTGCAGGAGTGCTGGGAATAGACAAATCCTCAATAGCTTCTGGTAGTTCAGACATGCTAGACTAGGACAAAAGATTCATGAGTAACCAATGTGATAGTAATGTACTGGCTAGCTTATCTAATGCCAAGTGGCGAAAAAATTATCTAATATGGGAGAGGGGAGCCCTTACTGGTTGCCAAGTTGCATTAGAGGCTCTAGCTATGTGTTGGCCCGAGGGGATTTTTGAGGTCACTGAGATTGTGGTGGGGTGGTGGCCTCTCGTTGACCAGTAAAGCAAAAAGATAGCAAGGGAGTGACAGGGGGAGGCGACTAACTATGCGTTGGCCGTTTGGGCGTAAGTACCTCCGAATATGAGGATGGGTGTTGGCCTTGCGGGACCACTAAGACTTAGGCAAGACGGACAGAAAACTAAGTGGACTCTGAAACCTATCAGTTAGTAGACAAAGTCTTACCCTAGAGGTAGTGCCAGATGGGGAGAGGGGAGAAGTGTAACGACCCCCGGGTACATCTACCTGTCGTATCTGATGGATAGAGTAGGAAAGTGTAGGTGAAACCAGAGTAATACCTACAAGAGTAAATAGCCATCATGTAGTACCCATAACATGACTGTAAATAGTGGTTAACCAACATGAAATAATATGGGATACCTACCACCTAATAGACTAGGCCTAAAAATGAACCCAGTAGAGCCTAATTGGTAGTATAACCAGTAGGGCCTAGTAACATAAAAGGAAACAGATTATCCAAGCAATGAGGGACAGAACGTGGATTCATAAGACAAATCTAAACCACTAACCGATGTAATTTTGTAGCAATCGAAAGAGAAGAGATGATAGTGAATATGGCAGCGTGATTTCAATCTGTAATATATAATATGGCCAATATTAGAACTTCAAGAGCGCATAATTGACTACTAACTGACAAAGATTAACAGAACCCACCTAAAGAGATTCAACAATTGAAACCTGAGTTAACCGGAAGCTATGAGACTTGAAAACCTCAGAGGCACAGCAAAAGAAGGTTCAAGCCCGGCAACCTATAAAATATGTTATAGCGTATCAAATGGCAGATAAAATAGTAACAAAGCGCTGCTCAATTTAACTTGTTAAACACATTTATTTGATAAAATTTGTAACCCGTGCAGTACTTTCCTATGTCCTCTAGAGGTCAGTAGCCTACCAAGCATATTCGTGTAATTTATACGAATGGCCGCATGGACTCTAGGAATTCCCATTATTATAATAGGGCATTCGGCTGTAATTATACGAACGGCTCCAAAAGAGGAGCAAAGAGCCGCATAACAACCAAATGCTCCAGAACAACGAAACACTATGACATACATGTTTGTGAGAATCGGAATTATCGTTTGTGCGGACGAATTAAATGCCGAATGGGTGAGCACAATCCCACGAAAGCCAAAGTATACGAACCGACAAGCAGTAACATAGTGGACAAACTACTGAACCGTATGTTTGTATGGAAGTAAACGAAAAGACTATACGATAGCATACGAAACAGAGGTAAGTATGTGGAATAGAGTTGCCCGTGATGACGCTGTGCGCCTGCGACGGGGTCGTGAAGATCAACCAACTCACTGTAACTGCAGCTTCGAGACAGTTAGCGGTGGCAACCGGAGGAGAGGGAAAATATCCCGGAGACCTTGGACAGCTGAAAAACTTGAACCAGGCAGACACTCTAAGAGCAGGTAATGTATCCACGACGAAAGGAAGCAGAATGGCGGTCTGCTGCAGCTGGAAGTCCAGGTATGCAAATCACCAGACCAACAATGGTAATCCACGGTATCCACGAGGAAAGGAAGGAGAATGACGGTCTGCTGCAGCTGGAAGTCCAGGTATGCAAATCACCAGACCAACAATGGTAATGAGGAGGGGTCTGGTGGTCCTTAAGTAGGGAAATCATGTCCCTCCCACAGAAATCAGGCCCAGCCTTCCATATAAAAATGTAAATACACATAGAAGATTCAAAAAGATGGTCCGCACTCCCAGGCGCCAATTAAAATGTAACTTTTATTTTCACATAAAAAAATAAACGTTTCAGTCCCCGATTGGAACTTTCCTCAGGACAATCGGGGACTGAAACGTTGACCTTTGGCATTTATTTTTTGATGTGAAAATAAAAGTTACATTTTAATTGGAGCATGGGAGTGCGGACCATCTTTTTGAATCTTCTGTATACATATGACCTGGATCCAGCACCCAGCATGTAAGCTAAAACTGCAATATAAGCCTGCTGTGTAAGGTATTTTGAGAGATATATATATATATATATATATATATATATAAACACACGTTTTATTTAGTATGTATGTGTAATATATTCTAAAATAATTAAAACATTTTATAATATATTATACATATATATGATTACATTATTACTTTTGCATCCAAGATCCTTGAAAGACTTGTGTATTTGAGATTGACAGACTTCCTCGAGTCTAATTCTCTGTTCGATCCACTTCAGTCTGGTTTCCGCGCTCAGCACTCTGTGGAAACGGCTCTGACCAAAGTATCAAACGTTCTATTCACTGCAAAATCTCATGGTCACTACTCTATTCTAATTCTCCTTGACCTTTCCGCTGCTTTTGATACTGTTTATCATAAACAGTTTGAGAGAGTTCAAGTTTGATTCTATTCTATCTATTTTTTACTGACCGTGTCTATCTTCAATAAATCTTTATAGAGAGTAGTACCCTGTCTCTGTCATACAGTGCTGCACCCATTTCATTCTGTGTTAACATTGATACATATATTGTATCATTTCTGATTTACGTATCTTTTTTTCATGAAAAAATGTAATAGACTGATACTATATTACTACCTTCAGCTTTATCAGATTTATTTTCTACTTATATCATAGTAGGTAATAAGTCTGTAATTAAGCTGATACATTTTCTATCAATTCATATTTGCTATTTTATTTGTAAAATCATTTATTTATGTCCCGTCTAGTATCGGTTTTGATGTTTATTACATATCATTTTGGATTTTAGTTGTGCGTGAGCATCAAACTGAGGTATACCTTGAGAAATTAGCATCAACGTTATCGGTACAAACTGTCAACAATGTGATACTGTAGATGTCTGTATAATGTGGTACGTTTTGTACTACCTGTCAGCCAAAAATTGCAACACTATGCAATAAAGGAAGCTAAGAAATTTCGACAATTTTTTTTTTTTTTTTTTAAGAAGTGTGTAGGGAGGCTGTATGAGTCACAGGCAAGGAAGGTGTTGCTATGGCTACATACACAAAGTAATTTACCAATAACACACAGAAACACATAAAGACAAACAAAATAAATTATAACAGCATCATCTTGAAATACAGGTATTTTAATGGAGTCGTGAAATACGAAGAGTAAATTTCAATTCAGTATGAAAATACAGAATAAAATATAATCTCTCCTGTTACTAATCTAACATGAAGATTCCTGGTTATTATTTTTAGAGCTGTGAAAATAACAAAATATTATAGTGTACATTTCTTTACATGTTAAAATTACACTTGCAGTTCCAATTTGTTTTCAGCAAAATTGAGGTTAAAATAACAGCTGAGTTGAGCAATTAGAAATTCAGGTATAATTTGTGTAGTGAACAAACAAACCTGTAAAACTTTATAAAAATGAGAATAATCTTAAAATTGCTATAACTAGAAATTCATTGTAAGACTGAGACAACAGCATAGTAAAATTTAAATACGAAAATATCAGCTTCAAGCAATTTAATAAAATGTTTAATATTTTCTTATAATGCAACAGAATATATAATACACATTTAGTTCAGTGATCCAATCATCCCCTATAACAGTGATGGAGAACCTTGTTAGAGCAAATGTGAGCATCATGGTAGTTCAAAAGAACCTACCACGTGAAGGAAGTCCCTCACTGCAGTGTAAATTTTGTCGACTAAAACTAAATCAATTCAGATGACTAAAATGGCTTAGTGAAAAGACTATGACTAAAACTAAATAAAAATTTGCCGTGAAAATTAACACTGCGCTAAGGCCTGTGGAAGGGGCAAAAGAGACAGATTAGAGCTTGGAAGAGAGACACCTAAAGGGGCTGGGGAAGGGACAAAAGATAGAGGCTTTAACTTAACCCATTAGATTTTAGTCATGGCGACTAAAATCTACTGGAGATTTAGTTGACTAAAACTAGACAATTCAGATAATTAAAATGCGACTAAATGTAAAAGACAATGACTAAAACTAAATTGAAATTTCACACCAAAATGAACACTGCCTCTCTGCCCTACAGAGCAATTTGCTTTAAACCAAGGCAAAAGGGCACACCACAAGTGCTGAATTTAGACTTTTTTTTATTTCTGATCCAATGGGGGTTTCTGACAAAATTTAGATTTTTGGACTACCTAACTGGGTTGGGACAGAGACTGAATTTACAGGTGACGTGAAAAAGGGCATGTTTTCTATGATACTATAATTCTATTAACATATTAAATGTGTAGTATTTGTATGACGACAACCAATATTCTTTCAGTGTTTTTCCCTTTAGAATTAAGTTAATAGTTCTTTGACAGTAAACAGGATACATTCACCCAACTAGACCGGAGCACTAGTTGATAAATGCATCCCAGCAAGTTGGTTGTAATTCCTGTCTAGTTTGTCAATGATGGAATGCAACAACTGAATATATATTTCAACATGAATTAAATTTCACCATCAACATTAAAGATACATCTTCTTGGGTGGGATAAAAGTTTATTATTTACCCCTAAGCAGTAAAGGCAATTTGTACGTGAATTCATTTTTTTTTCATTTACAGAACACTGGAAAATCATACACTACAAGTGGTCTTTTTACAAATACATTTAACTCCTATTGATAACGTGTGATGCAAGGATTTTACTGGGTCACCACCATATATATTTTTGGAAGCGTTCTCTACCTAAAAACAGAATTGCATAAGACCCAATGCAATATGATTTCAGTATTATAAAAAGGTTTTGTGATCACTGGTTTCCAAAAGCAGTTTTATATAAAACAAGAGTTTTTAGATTCATTGTTCACACCTCATCATTTAACCTAAATCATTTCATACTGATTTTCAATTATTTAAAATTACAACTGCCTGTAATTAGTCTTTTCATAAATTCATGTTTCATGTGTTTATATGTAAATTGAAAAGTAGTTTGATTCTATAATCTTGAAAAAGACCCCAACAAACACATTTTCATCACGTTGGTATGAATAGTCGTTACGACCTCTGAATTTCTTAAATATCTTGGGTTTGTTTGATTCAAATACAATTATATATATTTATATAAAAAACAAAAAACAATTACATAAGATTTGCCACCGCAGTACAAGATATTTACAAGGCATCTGGTTTTGTTTGAGAGTTGGCATCTTCTAAAATGTCATTGAAGAGTGTGGAAAGTGGCCTTTAGGAAAGTTTTTTTTAAGCATTAGCAGTTGCAGTTGATGGTGGTTGGTTAAGTGGCGCATTTTCTGGGCCATTTGCAGCATTACCAGGGCTCTTCTTTTTAAGTAGGCTTCTGTCTTGACGAAACTTTAAGCCAGCTTCCCCTAGAAAGCAGAGACTTGCCAGAAAGCCGAATGCCTAAAAAAAAAACAAAAAAAAAAATGTGAAAATTGTTTTTTGTTTTTTTTTTAAAAAGAAATAGACAACAAAAATAGATCCTGAGAGAGACAAAAATATTACAGCCGCTTTATAAAATGTTTATACAATATTAGGTACTGCTTTGGTATGCACCCATGACTGGTAGGGGACCCTCTACAATATTAATTTAATTTATTCACTTGATGTTAAGCCTACGGATGTCTTTCTGTAAAGCTTTATAAAGGTCAATGTGTATCTTGGCTTTATTACAAGAGGATTGTGTAACTAAAAACATAGAAACATAGAATGTGACGGCAGATAAGAGCCATTCGGCCCATCTAGTCTGCCCAATTTTCTAAATGCTTTTATTAGTCCCTGGCCTTATCTTATAGCTAGGATAGCCTTATGCATATCCCACGCATGCTTAAACTCCCTTACTGTGTTACCCTCTACCACTTCAGCTGGATGGCTATTCCATGCATATGCGTGCACAGCTTATTGCATTAGGGTGTGCACCCTAAAGCACAAACACACGCCGCGTGTATATGTATGTATGTGTGTGTATATATATATATATGTATATATATATATATATATATGTGTATATATATATATATATATATATATATATATATATATATATATATATATATATATATACACACACACACTGCTGTGTGAGGGTGCTGTTAGTGTGTTGTGTGTGTGTTTGTTAGGGTCCTGTTAGTGTGCTGTGTGAGGGTGCTGTGTGTGTGATGTGTGTGTGTGTAAGGGTGCTGTTTGTGTGCTGTGTGTGGGTGTTGTGTGTTTGTGAGGGTGCTGTTAGTGTGCTGTGTGTGTATTTGTGAGGGTGCTGTGTGTTTGTAAGGGTGCTGTGTGTGTATGGGGGTGCTGTATGTGATGGTGCTGTTTATGTGTGCTGTTTGTGTGCTGTGTGTGTGAGGGTGTTGTTTGTGTGCTGTATGTGTGAGGGTGCTGTTTGTGTGCTGAATGTGTGTGTGTGTGCTGTATGTTGGGGGGATTGTGGGGGTGGAGGTGGGGGCAGATTAGTTAATATCCCCCCTCCCTTCTTACCTTATGTAGGGAAGAGGGACCTTGCTGCTACCATCCCTGGTGGTCCAGTGGAGAGTGAACTCTAACCTGCGGGGCTAGAGTTCACTCTCTCAAGATCTGAGCGTTGTCGCAAGAGGAACACCGACTGAGCTGCTGGCTAGAGCTCCCCAGGTCCTGTCCTGCCTCCCTCCTTGCCTGTGGGTCGTGAGGTAGATCTTTGATCTCCCCACCAGCCCATGGAGGCTTAGAGCAGAGCTAGGACAGCGCCAGCTCCGCATGAGCCGACAGGGGAGATCCTTTACTGTGTGGATTCCCTTTATGTATTTAAATGTTTATATCATATCCCCCCTGTCTTGTCTTTCCTCCAAGCTATACATTTTAAGATCCTTTAAAAAAAAAAAAAAGGGGAACAAACTCCCCTTCCAACAGTGCACAGAGGTTTGTTCACTAAAGTGGGAACTGGTCAGGGAAATCCACATGATAGACCTAAATTAATGAGCTGTAAAAATAACTGGATTGCAGAACATTTCCAATACAACTATTTAGCATTAAAAATACTTGTAATAACATGATAAGTTGAAGTCAAATGTATTACAAGAGAATAACAGTGAAAAATTATATCAAGACCAGCCAAAAAGTCAGCACAGATGGAGATCTCAGAATAGTCCACCAGGTAGATCATGGAAAGTGCATACCTTATTGTAGACAAAAATGGTTAACAACACATTATAAAAATATGTGCAGACCCTATAAATGACAGGCAATCCAAAATTTTCAAAGACATGTCCATTAATGCAGACTCCTTCTCTCACACTTGGTTACATATTCAATTCCCCTGTGAACTGGAGTCGCAGCAACTAGTAACCGAAGAAAGGTTTTTCCTGTAATTCAGCAGGTTTTATTACAAATGATATGTGGTTTGAAACTAGTAATGGTATGTTGACAAACGTTTTGCATGGGCACAAGTAAACATTGTGTAAATAGGCAAATGGTTTAGATGGGTACAATTAATAAACACATACTCACCACAGCCACGTCCCCAATGGAATTAGGGTCCTTTGTCGCTACAAACACAATTGAAGCAATCAAAAATAAAACTCCAACTGCTACAGAAATGTAAAAATCCTGTAAAAAACAAGAAATACAATATTCGTTGCTAGGTTCAAACGTTTCCTCTAGATGGCAATATGAGATAAACTACATCAACACATTTTGAGTTAAACATTGATAACGGGTATTTGGAGCACACTTTGGTATCTGTCTAAAACTACACTGTTGTGATGCAGGTTATGTAGATAATGAATAAAATGCAAACAATGGACAACAGACATGACAATATAATGGCACAGAGAGTAAGGATGAAATACAGTAAAAATCCAGAGTATTTAATATCTTTATAAAACAGAACAAGAAACATTACAAAGTCTAATTTAGTTGTAACAAGGTACTTAGCAAAATAAGCCTCTTGGTGGGTCCAAGTATATCAAGGATATGAAACATAGAATGTGATGGCAGACAATAACCATTTGCCCCATCTAGTCTGCCCAATTTTCTAAATACTTTCATTTGTCCCTGGCCTTATCTTATAGCTAGGATAGCCTTATGCCTATCCCACGCATGCTTAAACTCCTTTACTGTGTTAACCTCTACCACTTCAGCTGGAAGGTTATTCCATGTATCCACTACCCTCTCAGTAAAGTAATACTTCCTGATATTACTTTAGAAACCTTTGTCCCTCTAATTTAAGACTATGTCCTCTTGTTCTGGTAGTTTTTCTTCTTTTAAATATAGTCTCCTCCTTTACTGCGTTGATTCCCTTTATGTATTTAAATGTTTCTATCATATCCCCCGTCTCGTCTTTCCTCCGAGCTATACATGTTACGTTCCTTTAACCTTTCCTTGTAAGTTTTATCCTGCAATCCATGAACCAGTTTAGTAGCCCTTCTTTAAATTCTCTCTAAAGTATCAATATCCTTCTGGAAATCCGGTCTCCAGTACTGCGTACAATACTCCAAATGAGGTCTCACTAGTATTCTGTACAAGGAGCACTTCCCTCTTTCTACTGCTAATACCTCTCCCTATACAACCAAGTATTCTGCTAGTAATTCCTCTTGCTCTATTACATTGTCTGCCTACCTTTAAGTCATCAGACATAATCACCCCTAAATCCCTTTCCTTAGATGTTGAGGTTAGGACTCTATCAAATATTCTGTACTCTGCCCTTGGGTTTTTACGTCCAAGATGCATTATCTTGTACTTATCCACATTAAATGTCACAACTCTGACCATTTTTCTAGTTAACCTAAATCACTTGCCATTTGGCTTATCCCTCCTGGAACATCAACCCTGTTACATATCTTAGTATCATCAGCAAAATGACATACCTTACCATCAAGACCTTCTGCAATATTACTAATAAGAATATTGTAGAGTATGGGTCTTAGTACAGATCCCTGAGGAACCCCACTGATGACAAGTCCAAGCTTCGAATATACTCCCTTGACTACAACCCTCTGTTGCCTGTCACCTTGCCACTGCCTTACCCATTCAACAATATTGGAATCCAAACTTAAAGATTGCAGTTTATTAATAGGCCTTCTATGTGCAACAGTGTCAAAAGCCAGTCAGCTCCCAGTGTAAGTCTCGCTGTCTGAGCGGCTCTCGCGAGACTTACACTTGGAGCTGACCGGCAGGGAGTAGAAGGGAGCTGACAGGAGCTGCAGGAAAGGTAAGTAACAGCTCGCTGCCAGCCCGCAACAGGACCGCCGGGCTTGCAATAAACCCGGCGGTCCTGGTCTGTATTATGGCAATGTAATTTGCCACAATACAGACAGTGACTTGAGTATAAGACGAGTGGGGTTTTTTCAGCACAAAAATTGTGCCGAAAAACTTATCTTATACTCGAGTATATACGGTACCCAATTTAAAAAAAGCAATAAGATTAGTTTGGCATGATCTCCCTGAAGTAAACCCATGTTGTCTCTGATGTTCAACAATCCTATCCTTTAACATGGTTTCCATTACTTTCCCCACTAATGAAGTAAGGCTTACTGGCCTATAGTTGCCCGACTCCTCCCTACTACCGTGAATGGGCACAATATTCACTAACTTCCAATCTTCTGTGACTACTCCTGTTAACAATGATTGGTTAAAAGGGACACTATAGTCACCCAGACCACTTCAGCTCAATGCTCAGCGGGAGGGAGCCGCACGCGCATTCAGCCAGTCCATAGGAAAGCATTCTCAATGCTTTCCTATGGACGCTGGCGTCTTCTCACTGTGAAAATCACAATGAGAAGCGCCTCTAGCAGCTATCAATGAGACAGCCACTAGAGGCTCGATTAACCCATGGGTAAACATAGCAGTTTCTCTGAAATTGCTATGTTTACAGCAAAAAACGGTTAAACCTTGCTGGACCTGGCACCCAGACCACTTCATTAAGCTGAAGAGGTCTGGGTGCCTAGAGTGGTCCTTTAAAATGGTACCTCTTCCTCTGTAAACTCGCATGTAACAAATTACTCATTTGTCCTTTTTCCTAACTGAGGTCCCTCTCTTTCATTTTCATCTGTAAATACTGAACAAAAATATTTATTGAGGCAGTCAGCTAAACATTTATCCTCTTCTACATACATTCCTTCTTTGATTTTTAATCAAACTAATCCTTGTTTTACTTTCATTTTCTCATTTATGTATCAAAAATGTTTTGTCCCCTTATTTTACTGACTGTGCTATTTTCTCTTCTGTGTGTGATTTGGATGCTCTTACAACTTGCTTAGCCTCTTTCTGCCTAATCTTATTGATCTGTCTATCTTCCTTACTCTGTTTTTTGTTTTATAAATTACTAAATGCTAACCTTTTGTTTTTTTTACTATTTTGGCCATATCTGTGGAGTACCACAGGGGTTTCTTGAAATTTTAGCTTTTACTGACAAGCCTAATGCAATTTTCTGTTACCTTCAGCAGTACAACTTTTAAATAATCCCATTTCTCTTGGACTACATTTAAATAGCTCCAGTCTGATAATAACCTCTTTACACATATTCTAATTTTAGAAAAGTCTGCAACTTTTGTTTTTGTGTGGTGTGACTCAGTCACTGTTCTTATAATAAACCACACTGACTGATGATCACTGGATCCTAAACTTTCACGTACAGTAATATCGGATACCAAATCTCCATTTGCTAACACTAAATCTAGTATGGCCTCTTTACGAGTTGGCTTCTCAACGACTTGTTTTAGAGACAATCCCAGTCACCCATGATGATAACTTCCCTCTTCATTGTCATTTTAGCTATTTCCTCAACTGGTATATTATCTAACTTTTCTATTTGTCTGGGGGCCTATAAATCACAACTACACGAGTTACTGTGTGATTACCAAATTTTAAACGTAACCAAAACGGACTCTATGTTCGCCTCACTAACTTTTATTAGGCTAGATTTTATGTTATCCTTCACATACAGGGCCACCCCTTCCCCTTTCTTGCCTTCCCTGTCTTTCTATATAAAGAGTACCCTGGTATTGCTATGTGCCAGTTATTTTTATTGTTATACCATGTCTAAGTAATAGCCACTAAATCTACATTATCAGTTGCCATTATTGACATGGGGTAAAATGACACAAAAAGGTAAGGATAGTATTAGACTAATGACAGTTGCAGAAGAGGAATCAGTCAGGAGCTATTAACAGTTTAATGGATACGCTTTTATGAAGAAGTGGGTTTTTAACGATTTTTTGAAGGAGTGGAGACTGGGTGAGCATCTAACGGAGGAGGGAAGCGAGTTCCACAGCCCTCGAGAAATCTTGAAGGCGAGCATCAGAGGTGGGAGTACGGACAGAAGATAGACTTATGTCTTCAGCAGATTGTAAGGGCCTAGACGGAACATACTTGTGTATAAGGGAGGATAGATAGGAGGGAGCAGCATTATATAGAGATTTGAAAGCAAGAACCAGAATTTTAAATTGAGCTCTATATTTTATAGGAAGCCAATGTAGGGATTGACAGAAGGGTGAGGCATGGGAGGTGCGTGCGGACAGGAAGATGAGCCTTGCCACCGCATTCATTATGGACTGTAACGGCGCTAGTTGGGAGCACGTAAGACCACTGAGAAGTGGATTACAGTAGTCAAGGCGAGAAAGGACAGTGGAATGGACCAACACCTTAGTCGCATCTGGCAAGTAGGGGCGGATGCGCGCAATGGTTTTTAGATGGAAATGACAGGATTTGGCGATAGATTGAACATGAGGCTTGAAGGAGAGGTCGGAGTCAAAGAGAACACCTAGGCAGCGAGCCTGCGTGGTGGAGCTGATGGTAGCACCGTTGACTTGGACAAGCAGAACTTCAGAGAATGACAATGTGGAAGCAACCTGCCATATATCATTGGCAAAAACACAAAAAACTTCCTTTACTTCTGAAACCTCATTGCAAGCCAAGTCATTTGTCCCTAGATGGACAAGTACATCCAATTCCCCTTCCTGCTTTGCTCGCTTATCAATATTACAAATACGTCTCCTGTCTCTGTGAGCAGTAGATCCGGGAAGACATCTCACAAGACCACCATTGTCCATCTCCACACCTCTTATGATAGAATCCCCCAACAACAACTGCTTTCTATTAGGCCTCACCATAGTCTTCAAGCCTGTCTCCATAATACCACTACACTGAGTGCCTGAGCCTGTCTTCACAACACCACTACACTCATTGCCTGAGCCTGTCTCCACAACAGCACTACACTGAGTGCCTGAGCTTGTCTCCATAACACCACTACACTCAAACCGTGTGCAGTTAGTAACCTTTCACTATAGATGAATCTTACCTGTAACAGTAAAAAGAAAACTCTTAGCAAAATCTTAGACAGTTGAAGAATATGTAAAACTCTCCAGAACATGTCCAAGCACACACGTTGAAGCAGAAACCAAGCTATATATGACTATTAACAAACTTATTCACAAAATTCAGAATAGTAGAAAATAAAAATCTCTAGGTTAAAATATCTGTGACTATAGCAGAGTGGGAACATTTTTCCAGAACAGATATTTTGCCATTTGGATTTCAATCCATTATAGTTTATGGTTTATGTAATGATCTACAGCCAATGTATAACATCAAGCTTGTCAAACTCAAAGTCTGGATCGGGCCACATAAACAAGGTTTAAGTTAATGTGGGCCGCAAAAAAAAAAAAAAAATATCGTAAATTTTCATAGAAACTTAGGTTTATTTTTAAAAGTACAGTATAAACCACCCCCCCCAGCATCTCCCTCTACTAAACCACATCACCCCCCTCCTACTAAATCCCAACCCCCCTCTACTACCCTATGCCAAATCTGATCCTCCCACTGACATACACACACATACAGACACACTGACACACACACTCACAGATACTCACTGACACACAGACAGACACACACACATATTTGCTGACTGACACACACTCACTGACAGACAGACACACATACTCACCGATAGACAGACACACACACTCACAAACACAGACACACACACATTGGGATTCTGGCAACGCTCAACGTCCTCATGCAGAGCGTGGGGACGTTGAACGTCATTTAAAACACTTTTGGTGCTCTAAGAACACGGAAGCACCATCTAGCGGCTGTCTGAGAGACAGGAACTAGAGGTGGGATTAGCGCTGTCATAAAAACACTGCGGTTTTTGACCGAGGTTTTGACTAACAGGGCTAAGGGGAGATAGGCAAGGCACTCAGACCATTCCAATGGGCAGAAGTGGTCTGGATGCCTACAGTTTCAATTTAAGCCTCATTTTATTATACAGTTGCAAGAAAAAGTATGTGAACCCTTTGGAATGATATGGATTTCTGCACAAATTGGTCATAAAATGTGATCTGATCATCATCTAAGTCACAACAATAGACAATCACAGTCTGCTTAAACTAATAACACACAAAGAATGAAATGTTGCCATGTTTTTATTGAACACACCATGTAAACCTTCACAGTGCAGGTGGAAAAAGTATGTGAACCCTTGGCTTTAATAACTGGTTGAACCTCCTTTGGCAGCAATAACTTCAACCAAACGTTTCCTGTAGTTGCAGATCAGAGATGAATTGAATCAATGAATCTCTATGAGGAAAGTTCAGTGTCTGCATGCAGAGGGTGGAGACACTGAATGTTTTGATGCATTTTAGGCAGCCATGAATCAGGAAGGATCTCTAACAGACATCTGGGGAGTGGCCAGTGAAGTTATCACTAGGCTGTAATGTAAACACTGCATTTTCTCTGAAAAGACAATGTGTACAGCAAAAAGCCTGCAGGTAATGATTCTACTCACCAGAACAAATACAATAAACTGTAGTTGTTGTGGTGACTATAGTGTCCCTTTAAGGTGCCACGAGTCCCCAGGCTTCCCCATTGTAAGTAGTCGAACAGTAGTTAGAATGTTTTGTCTAGTTACCTGGGATCTGCTGGGTGCCACTCCCCCACTCATCTACCTTCCAGAGAGCCGGATCTCTCTTCTGTTAGCTTTACTGAACTAAGACATGCACTGCAAGACTTAGCTCAGAGAGCTTCTGGCTCTAAAATGGTTTATTTACATCCAATGTGGGGCGCCAGGGCATTACTGGCACCATAACCACTACAGCATGCCATAGAGGTTATTGTGCTTGGTGTATTCCCTTTACTGGAAATTGTAGATATATCTCAAATTATGCGAATATGAATTTCAGCGCTATCTGATAGGGTGCTACAATTGTCTATCTGCAAGATTCATCAGTGGCAGATTTTACAAGTACTCGATAGAAGCCGGACTTTCAGCCAGCGTTCCTCCATAGACTACATCACGGGCAGCCCTCCTGAGTGCACCGGAGAGGAGCTGTCTCTAAGGGAAGAACACGAGTGGCTGTGAAAGAACTTTTTCGGCAAAATCTACTATGATGAGTACCATATTTTATTTAATGTAAGAGTTTTGAAGTTGGGGGGGATTGTTCTCTTTTGTATCCTGGGCAATAAATTTTGATACAGTATCACGCTATGTATCTTTTTCTGTTTCTCTTTTCTCAAGGTATTTCTACATGCTTTTGAGTTCCTACATATCACAACGTTATTTGGACTTTTTCATTGCAGGACTTTGTTACGGAACTATACATTCTGGACACTTTTTTGGCATGATTTTTCCATCTTTGCATATATATGCACCTTTTTTATTTTTAAGGGGATTATCTACTTAGCGCTGAAATTCATATTCGCATTTGTTATTTGGAATTGGGAAAATTCTTTTTGTTTTAGCAGCTATTACTGTTTGAGTACATTGGGTACTATTTTTATTGTTTTATTTTGACCATATATAGACTATTATGTAGGTCTTTTACTTGTAATACATGCGCTCTCTTTTTGATTGTTTATATCTCAAATTATACCAAAATGCCTGTATATACGTACACGTTACATAGTTAGGCCCGTAATTGCATTTGCATATGCACAATGGATAAATTAGTAGATTTAGTAAAATCATCAGCACATTATGTATTTAGTGTTGTTTTGTTACCCTATGACTAGCCAAATTTATTCACATATTTAGTCATACAATCTACTACAAAATGTAGTGAACTGAAATTTAAATGGCAAAATTAAGGCAACAATAGCATTTAGAGAAATTCTCCATCTCATTAGTAGTCACTTTAGCCTCAATGTTGTAATTTGGATTTCATATAGCTACAACTGGGTAGTTATTGTATAATTCTGTGTACCGCAGCCTGACATATATGTATGTAAAGTTCAAAATTCTATCAGAAGGTAATTCTTTTGTAGGTGTCCGATATTTACATGAGTGATGCATATGCAGTTTTAAGTTGTGTGATTTCTAAAATATATTGTGTGAGGCATATCAGTATATTTAATATGTCTGTTGTATATATATGTTAGCATAATATATGCTTGATTTATTACTAGGGCCTCTAATCTCACAGTACACACTGCACATTACTGGGGGTTCTGTAATATCCCAGTACACACTGCACATTACTGGGTGCTCTGTAATCCGTTAGTACACCCTGTGCATTACTGGGGGCTCCGTAATCTCACAGTACACACTGCACATTACTGGGCACTCTGTAATATCCCAGTACACACTGCACATTACTGGCGGCTCTTTAATATCACAGTACACACTGCACATTACTGGGGGCTCTGTAATATCCCAGTACACGCTGCACATAACTGAGGGCTCTGTAATATCCCAGTACACACTGCACATTACTGGAGCCTCTGTAATTTCCCAGTACACACTGCACATAACTGAGTGTTCTGTAATATCCCAGTACACACTACACATTACCAGGGGCTCTGTAATATCCCAGTTCACAATGCACATTATTGGGGGCTTTGTAAAATCCCTGTACACCCTGCACATTACTGGGGGTTCTGTAATATCCCAGTACACACTCCACCTTACTTGGAACTCTAATATCCTAGTACACACAGCACATTACTAATGACACTGTGACATCCCAGTACACTCTGCACATTACTGTTGGCTCTGTAATATTCCAGTATGCACTGCACATTACTGGGGGCTCTAATATCCCAGTGCATCCTGCACATTTCTGGGGGCTCTGTAATATCCCAGTACACACTGTGCATTAATGGGAAACTGTAATATCTCAGTACACCCTGGAGGGTGGGGCGGCGGGAGGCACGACTATGCCATGGTCCCGATTTTAATCTGGTCCTGACGTCTGAAAGGTTATATAGGTACTCTGGAAATTCTCTCCTAAATACTTCAGTATTTTATACACGCACACCTATGGGTACAAAGAAATGCACTCCAGAAATACTACATATAACCCAAGTGGGGAAATGTGTAAAGGGATAAAAGTAAAGATTTATCCTTTAAAAACTTTTAACTGTAGTTAAAGGACTCCTCCTTTTCTTAACAGATATAATAAAAATTAATGTATCTACAGATAACAATATATAGGGCAATATTGTATGTACACCAGTACGAGCTGCAAGCTATTGCACTTACAAGGAATACATTGATTGTATAGATATCACCCAATACTGGATGTAGAATGTCCTCTTTCTTACTCGGGTTACTTGGACATATAAAAACAAGAGAAAATACATGGTGTAGAGCAAGCATGTCAAACTCGCGGCCCATGGGCCGCATGCGGCCCACAAGGACCGGTTTTGCAGCCCGGTGAGCCGCGAGTGCATGGTCAGTTTTATAGCAGAGTAGGCACCTGCTGTCCCCATATTGCAGTTGCCTACTCTTCTAACACTTACCCGGCCGGGGAGGAAGCAGGACGCTGGCGGCCAGTGAGGGAGCTCAGTGTTCCAGCTCCTCACTGCTCCCTCAGTGATGTCATATTCCTGCACCCGGCATCACTAAATCGCGCAAGGGAGCAGTGAGGAGTTGGAGGGCCCCAGGGAAATGCCCCCCATCGGCTCCATAAGGTAAGGAGCAATAATGAAAAGTATGTGTGTGCAGAGGAGGTTGACCTTCAAGCCCCTGCTTGAGCTCTGTAAATGGAGGCATCTGTTACAACATTCTATACCGAGTATTGGGTGATATGTCTACAATCAATGTATTTCTTGAATGCATGAGTGCAATAGCTTACAGCTCACACTAGTATACATACAATATTGCCCTATACTGTCTATTTTTATCTGTAGGTACCTATATTTTTTAACAAAGCTAAATTTAGCTTAGATGTGTTTAATATATTTAAATATGCACAAAAAGGACCTCCTTTATACAGATATTCCTCACTTAACGACTGCTCGGACATACGACCAGGTCTCTAGGGCGGGCAATCCCCCGAATCTGAGTCTCGGTAATTCTCTCTAACATAGATTTGAGGGATTCCCCGTGCTAGAGATCTGGTCTATGTCTGAAGGAATTTCCACTGAACAAAGGCATTCCCAGTGCTAGTGAGCTGGTCAATGTTCAAGGGAATTCCCGAACATAGACCTGCTCTCTAGAGCACGCTAAACTTGGTTGTCATGCCGGTCTGAGGGATCCTCGCTTAACGACCTAGTCGTAGGAATGGAACTTGGATGGTAAGTGCAGAGTTCCTGTATTACCTAGATATACTTAGAAATTAGTGACCTAATGTACTGATTTTATTTTTTCCTTGCTGACAATGTATTTGATGTCATCATCTAAATTATGTCTTAAAAAGAAAATCATTGAGCCTGAAAAATCAGGGGAATTGTCTGTCTTTGATAATACATGAATACGAATTGTGCCATGCTGCACAATATATTGAATGTTGCGGTTATTCACTGAAGTATGACTTATTGGGGATTCAAAGTGAATTTAAAAATAGTGTTACATTTTAGGACAAAAAAACTGAACTGAAAACACTGGACTTGGACTAACATGGAGCGTGTGTTTCCACTTTTGCTATTCTGGCTTATATATTGAAATTCAATTTAAAGGGACATTATAGTCCCCAAAACAACTTTAGCGTAATGAAGCAGGTTTTGTGTATAGATGACATCTCTGAAGTCTCACTTCTCAATTTTCTGCCATTTAGTACTTAAATCACTTTTGTTTATGCCCGCCAATGCAGCCCTAGCCACACCACCACTTGCTGTGATACAGCCTGCATGAAAAAAAATGGTTTCATTTTCAGATATTAAACTAGTTTAGATGTTTTATCTCCTGCTCTGTAAATTGAACTCTAATCACATATAGGAGGCAAGGTCTAGCAAACTATTAACAGTGCAATAACTAGGAATTAAACCGAATTTTCAATAAGGAAGTGTAAACATTAGATCGCATTTACAGAAAGTGTTTAGGAAGGCTGTGCACTTACTTGCAGGGAGGTGTGACTAGGCTTGCATAAACAAAGTGATTTAACTCCTAAATGGCAGAGAATTAAGCTGCATGGTATGAGCTATACAAGAAAACTGTTGCATTAAGCTAAAGTTGTTTTGGTGACTATAGTATCTCTTTAAATTCCATACTATTTCATATTTTAATGAATAAACCTGGACATGTTTACTACTTAAAGTGTTCTCATTCATCTGTGAAAAGAAAAGAAAGATAATAACAAAGGTTTGACGTGGATTGCTTTGCCAGTGGAAGCACAATGCATTAGCAAGTCTACTTACCATTTTCTTGAAGCTCTCAATGTTTACTTTATTCCTCAGCGGAGTTAAATAAACAATAATTACGAGTAAAGACAGGAGGAAGGCACTGCAGCTCATAAACTCGAAGAAATAGAGACCTGCACAGCTTTCACAATGTTCAATAATTTCCTCACAAATGAAGGCTATGAGGGAGAAAAGCTGAAAAAAAAAAAAATAAGAAAACATCAGTGGTTCATGCAATACATGTTCTTTTATATATATTTTATTTTAAATCGTTTAATATTGAAACGTTTTACAGTGTGAATTGTTGGGAATTTAAAGTAAATGTAAACTTTTAGGTCAAAATAGCTAAATGGGAAACATAGATCTGAGATTTTTTTCATCTCTGACATTTTGGTCAAAAATTTTAAATTTCAAAAATGTGTTGCCATAGAACAGTATGTTGAGTGGAGAGTCAGGCTGGATCAGTGCTGCAGTAGAGTTGGCAAATCACTGTAGTCATAAATTAACAGAATGCAGCAACGACCAGCACTGGCCTTAGACCTTTAAAGGGATACTATAGGTACCCACCATGTTGTGTTTTGGTCATTGCAGAGTACTTTATAAAGAATAAAATTAAATAGAAGTCTAATAAGGATATTTGGTCCACGTGACATTGACATACCCCAACGTAATTCCTTACTAGGCAGAAGATAAGGGTTTGCTATATGGTGTGTTCCATAGACATATAGACCGGGACCCTTGAATCTTTCTTCTAACCAAGCTGTGGAAGGGTCTACCTTTCATCAAGAAAAGCTATTTAATAGAATCACCTTGGCAGTATGTGTGGCCTTGGCGGCAGCCTGGCTACTTGATACAGCCCAATCTTTGGCTATCGGTATAGATAAAATGAACTCTTATTAATTTGTTTTGCCTTTATCATTTTACAAACTAATCATTTCTGTTATTTTGAAGTATGATTCATTGCATTATCATTTATTATTAATTTATTTACATTTTTTTTCCTAGTTCAAATTATAAAACTATGTTCATGACCATAAAAATCTAATTATACTGTTAACAACATTTATATAGTCAACTTGGTGGGCCTGACTATGCTTTTTTCCCCTTTTGATGCTTACTATTACCCACATATAAATGGTCCCAGTGTTGTTCTTGACCTGTTGTATACGAGATACACTCAGCGTGTTAAATTTCCAGATTCCTCTTTCTTCTTCATCATGTGTTTTCAGGTTGGCTTTTCTTACAACATACTAAGAAGTCTTACATTACCATTAGCTTATGTATGGCTGTTTAAAGAACAGATGTTCATTGTTAATTTGTGTCAGCATATGTCTATGTTACCTAGGAAGGCATGAAAACATGAGGGATTCATAGTAAAAAAAGAAAAATAAAACCACCCAATGTTGAGTATAACATATATTCTACACATTCTAAGAAATGCTGGGAAATTTCCAAGTATTCTTACATAAAAGGACTCGAGCGTGCTACATATGAGGGTGGATAAAACCCCTTAGTTACTTACCTGATTCCAGTGCCGAAGTCCCTCGCTGCTGGGTCGGCTCTCCGCCTCCTCCGACTTCATCTGATGGGGGACTTAATGCGCAGCGAGTGCAGAGCGTGAGGACGTCCAGCATCAGTTAAGTTACCCAGAGTCAGGTAAACACCCTGAAGCTCTTCTAATAGCTGTCTGGTAGATAGCCACTAGAGGCTGTCTTAGTACTGCAATGTTAACATTAGTGGGACAGGGACACTGCACCTAGACCACTTCAATGAGATGAAGTGGTCTGGGTGCCTATATTGTCCCTTTAATAAGAAAATCATCTGTTCTTCCTTGAGCTTTGAAGGACGGAAAGAAACAGTGTACATGCACAGGACTTTTAGAAATGGCTCACTAAGGCAGCGTGCATATATTACTGCCAGGATCCCTAATATGGTGGTGGCTTGGAACAAGATCTGGCACTGCAAACTACAAAAAATAAAATGGTTATTAAACTAGCGAAAATGCAGATAAAAATGTACATGGGCGACAATAAGAACTCTTGTACTGTAAAAAAATGAATTGGAGGTTGCTCAGTGATATAGCCTTTTTCATGAAAAGACCACCTTCTTGACATTTAAAGTATCAGTAAAGCCCAGTTAAAGTGGCAGATTGGGCAACTACAATTTGTACAACTCAACTTGTGTTTTCACCAACTGTCCGTTACATCTAAATGTGATTGTCAATTATTTATTTGTTCTGCTCATGCATGCATAAAGCTGCACTTTATATACACACATGCAGTAGCCAAGTAAACCTGTGAAACCAGTTATGGTAATCAAACAAACAAAAAAAAGCTAGTGACTAAAGCATTCCTCTAAATATCTAAAACAAGAAAGTAGGTCAGTGCACATGGGCAGCATAAGGGCACGTGTTTCCTTCTAGAGTATTCAAGGTTAAACCCAAATTATTCCTTCTCTTGAATATGACTATGGCAAGGCATCATCTTAGAAACATTAGGGTTGTGATATTATTGAAACAGGGTGGGGATACAGAAAATATGTAGTTTTATCTATCCAAAGCAACAGATCTGGCACTACTTGCCATAGTGGGAGTGTTTAAAGAAGTGAAATAAAACTGCACTCAACACAATAATACAAACAATAAAAATATGAAATGCTAGAACATAGAATATCATATATAAAATAAAATGTGATACAGGCTCTGAGCTGTTTTATCCGTCGTGGAATGTGGATTACAAGATTCGGTCATATGGTACAAAGTGATTGTATTAAAAAGAAAATGCCTAAATGGACCCAGTTCTGTGATTATCCACAGCAATGCATTGCTCCATAGTAATAAGTCATGTCATCATAAAAGGAAACCATCACATTTTTGGAAATTACATCTTTGAAAGAAACATTGAAAATCATCTATAACTTTTAAAGAGAAAATAGGACTAATGGGTTGCAGATTATAAACAATCTGCCTCCCAAAAAGACCTTGTATCCTTATGTGAAGAAAGCTACTCTGCAATTATAAATATAAAAGTGGACGCAGAGAGCAAAAAACAAAAAACTCTTTATTAATCCCTCTTAGGGGAGAAACACACAGATACTAAACAAACAAGTAATAAAATTAGGATCTAATTGGATAGAATCAACTAGTCCAAAAATAATAGTAATATGGTCAGAAGAAATGCCAACAAATTCCGTAGCACTGTACAATGGGTGGACTAACAGACACATAATTGAGATCAGACCACTGACGTACAGGAACAGAGGGAAATATATATAATTTTGTTTAAATATTTTTATTTATATATAGGTATAAAATATTTATTTATATATTTATGTATATAGATATATATATTATTTCGTTCTACGTGTATTTTGATATAAATATATATATTACTATCACAATACAGTTAGAACGAAATAACACACATCTATTTTTTTTTAATTATTTTATTTTTTAACGTATTTACATATTTAATTTTTTTATTATATATAAATATATAACAATAATTATATATATTTAATCAGTATCAGTCTACGTGTAATTTGATAATATATATATATATTTATTAATAGTAAAATACACCTAGACAGTGTACGTATATATACACACACACTTATTTCATATATAATATATATATATATATATATATATATATATATATATATTAAGTATATATTATTATTTTTTTTACACTTTTAACATTTATTTGATTTTATTTTCAGCCAACAGGGGGACCACCTGTCATTACAGGCAGTCCCCCTGCTGGCAATACAGAAGCCAGCTATCCCAGCCATGTGATTGTGAGGTCCTCGCAAATAAAATCTTTTAGTAAGTAACATCTGATTGAAAGTGAACCCAGTTTTGTGTTAATGCAGTCTGTCAGTCACAGCCAAGGGCGTGTGGCTAGGGCTGCATTAACAGAGATAAAGTGATTTAACTCCTAAATGGCAGAGAATTGAGCAGTGAAACTTTAGAGGCACGGTCTATACACAAAAACCTGTTTCATTAAGCTAAAGCTGTTTTGGTGACTATAATAATAACAAAAAAGTATTTAATCAGGAAAAGTACATTCAGATTACTCTGGTTTTAGAGTAGTGTAGATTAACTTCCCATTCTGAATTTGAACTCTGAACACACTGGTAGGAGAGTAGCTCCAGATGTCATGTGGGTGTGAGTGATAAGCAACTAGGAACTTCGAAAATGTCCAATAAATTAAGCACACCTTAGAGAGTATTACCTCACCAACTACAGTTATAGTTTTGCTTTAACCCTGTAGTAGACTGGCTATTCTACAGCATGCCAGCCGTGTGTAGTACATTTCAAGATAACTCACACCAGACAAAGGCACATCCATGTTGGTGATGCCCTGGACTGAAGTTGGTTTGCTGATAACAGGGTTGGTGGTCTTTACAAGGTAAATCACAGGCTTACATTATTCAGAAAACTGACACTTTTTTTTTCTTTTTTTCTTCTCTATAGGTTCATGTGTTATCCCTTCTATAGATTGTTGATAAAAAAATGGCTCTTAACCCCTTCAGGACCGGCCTGTTTTGGCCATTTTATACGTTAAGGACCAGGGCTCTTTTTACACTTTTGTGGTGTTTGTGTTTAGCTGTAATTTTCCTCTCTCTCATTTACTGTTCACATCCAAGTTATATATTGTTATTTTCAGGTCAAAAAGGGCCTTCTTTACATACCATTATTTGTATCATGTCATAATTTACTTTTAAAAAAAATGGTGAAAAAATGAAAAAAAATAACTTTTACTTTTGCTTGAAAAATCTTTTACTTACCTACAAAAGCTAATGCAAAAAACTGCTAAATAGATAAAAAAAAATGTTGTCCTGAGTTTAAAAACACCCAGTGTTTACTTTTTGCAAATTATAGGGCTATAATTACAAATAGGAAATTGCTGTTTCAAAATATTTATTTTTAAAAATGTATGAATAGTGACATTGTAACACTTATCTGTCATAAATCTGTGAATCACATCCCATATGTACAATTTTTTTTTTTTTAAAGTAGACAACCCAGGGTATTCAATATGGGGTATGTCCAGTCTTTTTTACTAGCCACTTAGTCAAAAACACTGGCCAAAGTTAGCCATCATATTTGTTTGTGTGTGAAAAAAGTAAAAAACTAAAGTGAACGCTAATTTTGGCCAGTGTTTGTGACTAAGTTGCTACTAAAAAAGACTGGACATACCCCATTTGCAATACCTTGGGTTGTCTTCTTTTGCAAATGGTATGCCACCATGGGGGTAATTCTCATTCCTGGGCTACCATACGCTCTCAAAGGCAATATAACCAGCCAGGCAATTTTCAATGTAAAAATATTTGACCCTGTAACTTTCAAAAACGCTATAAAATCTGTACATGGGGGGTACTGTTATACTCGTGAGACTTTTTTGAACACAAATATTAGTGTTTCAAAACAGTAATACGTACCACAAAAATTATATCATCAGTAAAAAGTGCAAAAAAGGTCACTTTCCATGACAATATCATCGCTGTGATATGTTTTACTGCTTTGAATCACTAATATTTGTGTTCAGCAAAGTCTCCAGAGTAAAACAGTACCCCCCATGTACAGGTTTTAGGGTGTCATAGAAAGGTACAGGGTTAAATTCAGTGCTAGCAAATTAAATTCTCTGGACTTTTGGCCTGGGTTGTCAGGCAGGTCCCTCAAATTGCAATCAATAAAATTACTTAATTATGTAAAAATATTACATAAATACGCACGTAGAATTTAAATATATATGCATATTTATATATTTGAAGTCTACGTGTATATTTATATAATTATTTATGTAATTTTGTATATGGACATATGTATATTTCGTGTTATTTTTATTTATATATACATAGAGATATAGATATATATATATATATATATATAGATATATATATATATACACACACACACAATTTCATTCTACGTTTATTTTGATATAAATATATATAAATATCTAAATACAGTTAGAATAAAATAGATATATAATTTATTTAAAATTTGTATTAAACATTTTTATTTTTATTTATTTTAATTTACATACACACACACACACACACATATACATATACACACACACACGCAAGAAAAAAACATTTTTTATTTTATTTTATTTTACACTTGCAGGGAGACTCCGTCAGCACAGACAGTCCCCCTGCAGGCAGACACTTGGACACCTATTGTGGCCATGTGACCGCTCTATTGCGCGATCACGTGGCCACGGGGTCCTGATTTGCCGCAGGGAGACTGGGCTCTCAGGCAGTCTCCCCACACCGGGAGCAACGCCGATCGCTGCTGGGGGAACGACGGTGATCGGGTAAGTACATCTTACCGTTATGACGGTTCAGGACTGTTACCAGTCCTCAAGGGGATTTTTCCGATGACGGTCCTGAACCGTCCGCGGTCGCGAAGGGGTTAAAGTAGAGTTCAACGTTTTGTATTTATATTCATTCAAAACAATTTATTCTCTAAACACTGAATAGCAGTTAACTCAAGGCACAAAAAGTGCTGATTTAGAAACAGTCTTTAATTCAGGCATAATCTATTAAGATAGCCTACTCTATGGCCTACATTTTGCATTTCAATGTTCAATTCATTACATGTCAGTGTTTACCAAATAAACTGCAATGATTATATGATATGGCCTGAGGGCTATCTTTGTAATGTTAATTGGGTATATTCTTCATATTACAGTTACAGACAATCTATTCAGCTAGTGCTGTTTAGCATATCATGGATTTTATTGGTAAAGATTAGGCAACAGAAGTGAAGGGGGCGTTTTTTTGGAAGGCGGCGAAAGCAGATGAGTTGGACAGTCAATATGAACGAAAGAATAAAAGGTGGTTATGTAAAATTGAAATGACAATGAGCTTTACTGTTGGAAGGAGAATTGAGAGGGAGTGCAAGAAAATAGAAATACAGGTAATGTTGATGCGGAGTGGATAAAATGATATAGAGCGGGTATCTCAAACTCTGACCCCCCAAATGTTACTGAACTACAACTCTCAGAGTTTTCTGACTATCTATTCAAATAATTCTGGGAATTTAAAGTCATCAGTATGTGAGGACCAGAGTTTCACATCCTTGATATGGAGCATTTGAAACTTGTATAGAAGGAAGAGAATTGATATTGATGGGGAAACACAAATAAGCACACCGGACAACAGAAATACCAAAATGACACAGAGGTCATGTGAAGGGGGAAAAAAAGGGTTTCTGGGCATGCTATTACTTAATTTATGTAGACCTTTGGGCAATTAAAGAGAGACTGTAGTCACTAGAACTACTACAGCTTAAAGGATCACTATAGTTTCAGGAAAACAAAGCGGTTTTTCTGACACTATAGTGCCCTGAGGGTACCCCCATCCTCAGGGTCCGCCCCCCTGTGGCGCTGAAGGGGGCTCCTGAGTGGAGTGGAATGCGCATGCACAGCAAGTACAGCGCGCGCATTCAAACAGTCCATAGGAAAGCATTTCTTAATGCTTTCCTATGGACGCTCTGCGCGATGGAATGCGAAATTCGCATCCAGCGTCGCAGATGCGCCTCTAGCAGCTGTTAGGAGGACAGCCACTAGAGGTTGGCTTAACCCCTAATGTAAATATAGCAGTTTCTCTGAAACTGCTATTTTTACATGTAAAGGGTTAAAACCTGAGGGACATTGTACCCAGACCACTTCATTTAACTGAAGTGGTCTGGGTGACTATAGTGTCCCTTTAATGTAGTGGTTCTGGTGAGTAAAGTCAGTACTAGCAGGTATTTAAATGTAAACACTGCCTTTTAAATAGAAATTGCAGTGTTTACATTGGTGCCTAGTAACTCAGACGGCCATTAGAGTTGCTTCCTTTGCAAAAAAAAAAAAAAAAAACACTTGTCATCAATGCAATAAAATTAATTACATATTTTCGCAGCGCCTTTGCTCTTCCAATATATTCAGTAAACATTAAACCATTTAATAAAGTAACGCACACAAAAAAAAACACTACTCCCTGCACTTAAACACAATATAATATGTTAAACCGTTTCTGGCTTATACAATAAATAGCGAACATAGATCAGGAGTTCCCCTCTCATTTCACTCGGGTGCCCTTAACCAAGCCAAGGTGGCCTATGTGTGAAATGCTAGATTTGAAAAGGTGGCCTGATTGTGGAATGCTGGATTTGAACAGGTGGCCTGGACGGGAAATGCTAGATTTGAAAAGGTGGCCTGTTTGTGGAATGCTGGATTTGAAAAGGTGGCCTGGACGGGTAACGCTAGATTTAACAGGGATGGCAAACCAAATTCAGGTTGCAGTAAAGCTGACATTGGCTTTCTCTATCCTAAGACTTGAAAACTGAAAAAGGTAGCCTGTCTAATAAGTTACTAATCAGCCCTGTCAACCAGTACATCTAAATCAGATAAGTATATAAATTTGCACACTCTTGTAGCCCCAACCATTCCTGTTAATTATCTCTGCTGGTAAGGAATAGGATCCTGGTGTCATGTGAGACCTATGAACTAGGTAGCACAAACCACATAACCTAATCCTTCCTGCGTCATCTCTGCTTTAACAGATAGAACTTACATCTGAGAAAATATAGTTAAGGGAGTTTCCCTTTAGAATGTTTTCAATAATAATTGAAGCAATTTCCTTTCATGCAGTCATCCTTGTGCTGGGGAAACAGTAAAGAACAAACTCGGGGAGGCTTACTAAGAACTGGATACATTTCTCCCCAGTGAAAATTCCAGTTATGGATCCTCAAACAATAAAAGAATTAAAGCAAAACTGTTGCAATTTTTCATTAATAAATAATAATATATTACATATATATAGCCTCCGTGTATGTCATTTTGTAATGCATACATATAAATACATAGCTTTTTTCAGTACATCTCCTGTCTTACCCACCCTCCACTTGACCTGCAATCTTTAGGTTCTTCTTGTTCATATCACCAAAGGCCAAATAACTATTTAAGAGCTGTTTATGTACAGGAATTTCAACCTCAAACGCAAGCACCAGGCATCTCCAAAACATGTTCTGAGCAAGTTTCGCCCATTCAAATCGATCAGGGTCTTAAGATTGTGTTGGTGATTCCAACCACAGGGGATTTAAAAATGACTTCCCCTATAGAGCAATGATATGCCACAGGATGCACTGATTCTACTTATATGTATGCATTACAAAATAGAAAACAAAATGTAGGCAAATCAAATTATCTAAAACTACCTACATGGTTATTTAAGAAAGTGAGAATTGCAGGGAATTCAAAGTGAATTTAAAGTTTAAGAAAAACAGCCAAACAGGAAAAATAATTGATGGAGAATTTTTCTAATTTGGGCTATTTTAACCCCCAGAAAAAAAAGAAAAAAAAATTAACTTTAAATTCCTGGCAATTCTCACTTTAGTGAATAACCCTGTCTTTTAAAACCGTTAACACTTTTTTACCCACAATATGCAGGTCTTGTCGTGGCTGGCCCCACCTCCGTGGCTGACATAATCAAGCATTGGGAGGCTATTGCGCATGTGCCAATCAGCATCTCCTCATAGAGATACATTGAATCAACTCAGCTCTATGGGGAAAGTTCAGCATTCTCTGAAGGCAGTGTTTACACTGAAAAGCATGCAAGGACCGGCTATGGACACTAAAACAACAGCATTAAGCTGTAGTGGTTCTGGTAACTATAGTGTCTCTTTAAGAATTGTATTTTTGTTGTTGAAAATAAAGCTTTGTTAGTTACAAAAAACAAAATCAAAGAAAAAAAAAACACCTCTCAACTTATTTAGCTGACTACAAAATTTAAATCAAATATGCCAAGCCCTGTTAAAGCATAACACAAATACATTTTATAATTTTTTCCCACAATAATCAAAGCTTTGTGAGCAGTAAAGGAACACTCTAAGAAACACTGTTTGTGTAGTGTGTATGTAATGTAGTGTGTATGTAATGCAGTGTGTGTGTATGTAATGCAGTATGTGTGCAGTGTGTTTGTGTAGTGTGTGTGCATGTAATGCAGTATGTGTGTATGTAATGCAGTGTAGTGTGTGCAGTGTGTGTGTCTGTTATGCAGTATGTGTGCAGTGTGTGTTTGTGTAGTGTGTGTTGTGTGTGTGTATGTAATGCAGTGTGTGTGTGTCTGTGTAGTGTGTATGTAATGCAGTATGTGTGTACGTAATGCAGTATGTGTTTGTGTAGTGATGTAATTTGTGTAATTTTTTATTTTAATTTTTTTTAATATTTAAATGTTGTTTTTTGTTTAGTTCCCCCTCCCTAGTTTGTGTTTGTGTAGTGTGTGTGTGTAATGCAGTGGGTGTGTCTGAGTAGTGTGTATGTAATGCAGTATGTGTGCAGTGTGTGTGTGTGTAGTGATGTAATTTGTGTAATTTTTTATTTTAATATTTAAATGTGTTTTTTTTTTGTTTGTTTAGTCCCCCCTCCCTGCTTCTTACCAGGGAGGGGGATATAGTATTCTCTGGTGGTCCAGTGGCTTATTAAGTACAGTGGTGGCTCAGCAACAGCAAGCGCTGACTTACCTTGCAAGCAGCTCCTACAGCTCTCTGTGTAAATCTCACGGCTCTTAGTGCCGCGCGGAGCGTTGCCATGGTAACCCGTGGCAATGCTCTGCGGCCGCGGGTCTCGCGAGATTTACACAGAGAGCTGTAGGAGCTGCTTGCAAGGTAAGTCAACGCTTGCTGCTGGCCCCCACAGGACCGCCGGACTGGTAATGGGCCCGGCGGTCCTGTTATATATTATTGGCAATAATCGGTATCTGAATTGGCCGATACCGATATTGCAGAAAATACCAAATATCGGCCGATAATATCGGCCAGACCGATAATCGGTCGATCCCTACTTTCCTATGTGACCGGCTGAATGCGCACGCAGCTCTTGCCGCGTGTGCGCATTCAGCCGACGGGGAGGAGAAGAGGAGGATCGGAGGAGGAAAGCTCTCCGCCCAGCGCTGGGAAAAGGTAAGTTTTAACCCCTTTCCTCTTTCCAGAGCCGGGCGGGAGGGGGACCCTGAGGGTGGGGGCACCCTCAGGGCACTATAGTTCCAGGAAAACGAGTATGTTTTCCTGGCACTATAGTGGTCCTTTAAGACATTTTGTAGAAACTCTGATAAAATTCTCTGGCCGCCCACAGTTCAGCCCCTTCTGGAGGTGTGGCTAAGGCAGAGATTACACATTTCCTTGTAGTAATACTCTTCATACTGGCAGTAGTGGCAGTTGTGGATCTGATAGGCTAAAAGCAGTCAGCTGACACTCTCAGTCAATCACAGCTGCTCAGGCTGATACTTCCCCATTAGCCAAAGCAGCAAAGAAGGGAAAGACTGCTAGTGACTTTCATTTAGCATAACATTAAAAACTGTTTAATGGTGAATGAAATTGTGGCACCAGGGGACTCCATAGTTTAATGAGAAGAAGCATATACAGTGCCTGCAATGTCCCTTTAACAGGGTTATTCACTAAAATGAGAATTCAAAGTGAATTTCAAATTTAAATTATCACTTTAGTTAGTAACCCTGCAAGAAATTCAGGTCACACTGAAACAAACCGGAAACTGCTCCATCTTTGAAAGTAAACAACCAATTGTCGGAAAAAAAATAAACTTTTCATCATCCAGTACCATATGCAATGCCAACACTGACAAAACCGGCTATTTCCTCTGAGTTTATTTTGTTATAGTGCAGTGGCACTATAACAACTTCAGCTTGATGGAGTTGTTGTAATGCCTCAAATATTTCCCCCCTTCTCCTAACCTCCAGCTTATCTGGTTCAATTGTTTTGAAGGCTTGACAGTACAGTTTCAAGCAATGCTTCCAAGACCTCTGAAACCTACTGTGACGTCAGCACACCTGATGCTCATGTCGATGGATTTAGGCTTCTGCCCTTTTCTACCATTTAAAAAACAACAACAAAAGAATAATAATCTTTTACAACTGTTAGTCCGTACAAAGACATCCAGATCAACAAAGGTAAAGATAATCATTGGCCAGGAACAAACAAATTGAAGGCTAAAAGTGGTAAACGATGTAAGTGCCAAAAAAATCCAAACACTGTTTTCCATATTTGTGTCAAATGAGCAATGCTTTATAATGAGGTAAACGTGAAAAGTGCCTGGTAGTCCTCTAAGTAGGTAAAAAGAGCGTGTAAAATCGTAAACGTTGTAAGTGCCAGATATGTGCAAAAAAAGTTTTTTGCAATTTCCCAACATTTGGGCTTTTGGAACTTACGTTTACCACTTTTAGTCCTCAATTATCAAGTTTTTTTTTTTTTTTTTTTATCATCAAGTTTTTAAAAGTGGTTTAACCTAGCTTAAAGAAGTGGTCTGGGTGCTTGTCCAGCTAGGATTAACCCATTCTTTTATAAACATAGCAGTTTCAGAGAATGGGTTAAGCCTTCCCCCAAAAGCCTCTAGCGGCTGTATCACTGACAGCCGCTAAAGGGGCTTGAGTGCTTCTCACTGTGATTTTCACAGTGAGAGCACGCCAGCGTCCATAGGAAAGCATTGATAATGCTTTCCTATGCGACCGGCTGACGGGGAGGAACGGAGGAGGATCGCAGGAGGAGAGCTCCCCGCCTGGTGCTGGAAAAAGTTACGTTTTTACCCCTTCCAGAGCCGGGCGGGCACCCTCAGGGCACTATAGTGCCAGGAAAAAGAGTATGTTTTCCTGGCACTATAGTGGTCCTTTAAAGGACATAACTTCTGGAATAAAAGGGAATCATGACATGTCACACATGTCATGTGTCCTTAAGGGGTTAAATAAAAACCAAGAGTTGGCAAATCGTGATGGAAATCAGTGGAACTGGCAAACACATTAGACCAGGTGGCACTGTAGTATCTATTTAAAAAAGATAGCTAAATGTTTCTTATGTGAGAAAACCAAAATAAGCAGATTTGCAAGGCTGATATAGTACAGGATGACTGAGGACACTAGTTAAATAGAGCGACATAAAAGGGGCTATTTTTTATATATAATCTGCATCAAACTAATAACTATATAACTTTTCTATTTTACTAAATCTTTAGTATACATGTAAAAGAAAACATAGCATCATATAAATCATCAGGGGATTTACAATGTTTTATTCTGTAATAATTTCCACCGAATAGACCGTTCTCCTTTCTAATTGAGTTAATCTATTCTGAACAGACATCAAATGGAAATTTTTGCTATCCTCTACACAACTGTTGAGAAATTAGAAACCCACATAATTGGATGATGCTGCACTGCTAGAACTCTAATGAAATCATGAAGTTTTTGTAGGGGTTGAGCAAACTGATAACATACTATTTGTGTACAACACATTTGAATTACTAGGCTTATAAACTGCAAAGATAAACTTCAACAGGGCATTGTTCAAGACATACATTGTCGTTACACTATATACACACACTTGTGTTTCTCTTTCGGGTACTAAGCTATTATAAACACTACGAGCAGTATTGCAATATTGCTTAATTTCACATTCTGGGTGCGATTTGATGGTTCTGTTTGTAGCCCATTTATGGGTTTTTAGCTTGTTAAGCATTGCTGCCTTTCATTTGCATTTAGAGCTGTATTGTGGTTTTCCTAGTTTTAAAACAAAAATTAGATTATGGGTTAATTCCCATGTGGATTACGAGTTAAATAGTTGGCCTGATCGTTGAAATGACATCAGATGATTAACATTTAAAGACACACCCATGCCTTATTCTCTCTTATAAGAAACAGCTTTAAAATGCTGGGGCTTAATTTAATTATTTTATTGTAAAGGGACAGCAGTACCAATTTCAATTCATACAGAAAAGTGACGTTAACAAGTAACTATTACTAAGTTTTTACTTTAATATAATCTTTGAACTTTTGACAGAATGAAGCAATTTAAATTAAATTGTGTGATTTTACAACTTTACAACTATTCATCACACTTGCCAAATGTCTAGTGCAACTGATTATTAATTTTTTTTGTATTCCATTTTTACCAAACTGTGAAATAAACTTCTTGTGTACACACATTGCACAACGGAATGTATTCACTAGACCCAGAATTGCAGTGCAATGACATCTGAATGACCGTATTTAGAATAAAATTGCTAAGCTAAAGCTGTAATGGAATATGTTTTCAGGTCAACTATTTTGGCCTTAAGTATGCCATTTGTATTACAATTGGCTACAATTCAACATTTAGTGAATAAACCCCTAAGTGATTATTTGTGCAGCTCAATCTAGCTGAATTCTCACCTTAGTGGATAGCCCTGTGAGTGTTCATAACACAGGAGCTAGGAGGTTTTGGGCTTTCACAGTCTTTGTGCTTGTATTTTCTCATCCAGTTTTACAGATTCAAGTTTTAATGTGTTGCTGAATACCTGTTTCTCCATATTGCTACATTTTGTGTTATCACCATTGGTTGGCTGAATACAGAATTGCTAATGCCTGACCCCATATAAAAGTCAGAATGCTTTTTTATTTTGGTACACGTTGTTGGGTGTTTCTCATAACGTTCCTGCAATAGTCTCCTAGGATAAGGCAGCAGGGAGCTAAGCACTTGTCCTATTACACCAACACTCCAATCACTACACCCACTACAGCACTGTTTTTTGGTACCAGGAGTGTCTTGGGCCCCAATGTAAGTAATCAAACCACCACGAACCTCTCCCTATCTCTACTACAGCCTTCAGGGAGACAGAAGCTACATCACTGGGCCTAGCTCTTTGTCTGACAGCGATCAGTTGGCTGATAAGAAGAGGTGAAAATTGGCATTTAGTGGACCCCAGGTAAGCAGGCAAATCATTATAAAACTATTTACAATAGGGTAGAGCCATGGCAACCCTGGCACCACAACCATTACAACACAATGTAGTGGTTATGGTGCTTGGAGTGAGAGAAAGAGAAAGGTGAGTAAAAACCAAAATCCCCTCACCCATGTCATTGGAGGGGGACCGGTCGCACTGCCACACACACACTCACGCTCGCTCCTGCCACACACACACACACTCACTCCTGACATACTCACTGACACACACTCACATTCATGTCACTGCAATAACAAGGTGACCAACCAGCCTCCCTACCTGGAGCTGTAGTGGTTCGGCTTTCCAAGGGGTCCAGTGGGGCTTCAGTCATCTCCCTGCTCTGCTCCATAGAGTGCTGTTTAGTGATGCCGGGGCCAGAATGATGTCATATTCTGGCTCCCGGCATCACTGGAGGACTGCTTCCATCCACTACCCACACTCTCTATCAACTGGCAGGCTGACTACATGCACACGCTCTTTATGAGCCGGCCGCCTCCACTCATAGGCAGCTGACCACCTCAGGGCCGAATGAGCCAACAAATCCCAGGTGCCAGGACTAAAATCCTAGTCGCCATAGAGACCTGGCGCCTGGGATTTTTCGAGCCCTGCTTTAACCCCTATAAACACATTACATCCCCTATGCATAGACTATACACGCGCGCACTATAATCCCTACACACATTTCAAACCGCACCTTTACATACATGTGCAGTAAAACCTCTAGAGTCTAGATACACACACTACACCTCCTAGATTCACAAATGATGCAACCCCTATAAACATATACATACATACAAACACACATTACAACCCCTATACACAATTTCTAAGTCCCCTATACACACACTCTACAGCTCCTACCCACACATAGTACACTACAAACTAGCCTTCTCTACAAACATGCAATCCCAAAAGCAGTTACCAAACCCATTCAACATTACATGCACAACACCCTTTACTAGTCCTGTCCCACTTTTGTTCTCTGGTATACCACTATTGGTGACATTAGAAATAAGTCATTAGCAATCGCAGCATATTCATGTCATTTAATTTGCATGCGCTGAGCAGAAGAAAAAATAAAAACAGGGCATTTTCACCCATCCAAAAGCACTTCAGCAGGGCTAAGCATATGGGATCCCCTGGAGAGGAATCACACTAACATACTCCGTTTTGGGGGCATGCTTGTCACTGGTGATGACTTAACAGCCACCTTTCTGACCACGCCTCTCCTATTGGGCTGTTCTGCATTAAACTGCACGGATCAAAATCTCATCCCAGTCCATACGTGCCCTTTATAAATATGGACAGCAATATTGGCCCCATTCCAAACTCATTGCTTAGAGTGCCCCTTTAATACAAAATGCAATGTGAATTCTGAATTATATTTATGGGAAACTGTAGCTATTGTTGACAAGGCATGCAGGGGGCAGGGTCTGGCAATTCCTATTTAGAAAACAGAAACCTTTTTCAGAAGTAAATCGCCTGAGGGTTTTGTCATAACGTGAATACCATGTTTACATGTTGGTCAAGTGACAAGCTCCAATCAGTTCTTTGATATTCTCCAGGTACACAACATCACAGTTCAATGAAGTGGTTTGGGTGCCAGGTCCCCCTAGTTTTAACTAGGGATGCACCGAGATGAAAATTCTGGGCCGAAACTGAAAATTCAGGATGCCCTTGGCTGAAAACGACTTTCCCCCCCCCAAATGATTTTTAAAAAATGTTTTCCTATAATTTTATTATTAGACGTTTTAATTAATTTAATTAATCTAATATGAAAAACTTCCCTTCTCTTTTTAGTGGTTCTTTTCTCCCCCCTCCCCTGTCCCATAGTGTTCTTTTCTCCCCCCCCTCCCCTGTCCCATAGTGTTCTTTTCCCCCCTCCTGTCCCATGGTGTTCTTTTCTCCCCCCCTCCCCTGTCCCATAGTGTTCTTTCTCCCCCCCTCCTGTCCCATAGTGTTCTTTCTCCCCCTCCTGTCCTGTGTTCTTTCTCCCCCTTTTCTCCCCCCTCCTGTCCCATATGGTGTTCTTTTTCTCCCCCCCCTCCCCTGTCCCATGGTGTGCTTTTCTCCCCCTCCTGTCCATCTTTTCTCCCCTCCCCTGTCCATAGTGTTCTTTTCTCCCCCCCTCCCTGTCCCATGGTGTTCTTTCTCCCCCTCCCCTGTCCCATAGTGTTCTTTTCTCCTCTGTCCATAGTGTTCTTTCTCCCCCCTCCCTGTCCCATGGTGTTTCTTTTCTCCCCCCTCCTGTCCCATGAGTGTTCTTTCCTCCCCCCTCCTGTAGTGTTCTTTCCTCCCCCCCTCCCTGTCCTGGAAGTGTTCTTTCCTCCCCCCTCCCCTGTCCCATGGTGTTCTTTCCTCCCACTCCCCTGTCCATGGCGTTCTTTTCTCCCCGTCCCATAGCGTTCTTTTCTCCCCCTGTCCCACAGCGTTCTTTTCTCCCCCTGTCCCACAGCGTTCTTTTCTCCCCCTGTCCCACAGCGTTCTTTTCTCCCCCTGTCCCACAGCGTTCTTTTTCTTCTTTTGTGATATATAATCATTTGAATTGTTAATGCAAGCATGTCTGTTAAACTATGCACTACATAAAAATTTTTTTTTGATTTTCTGCAAATTTGACCCTTTTTCGGCCGAAACGGGATAGGACCATTTTCGTCTGTAAATTTCGGCAGCCTAAATTTCAGTGCATCCCTAAGAGAAACTGCTATGTTTACATTGAGGGTTAACCTGAGTAAATCACACTTATTTGATGCTGGATGTCCTCACGGAGTCCAATGCATTGAGTAATGTTTTCCTATGGGCAGGTTTGAATGCGCGCGGGCATTCAGCTCCACTCGGAAACTGGCGTCGATGGAGGAGGAGAGGTCACCAGTGCCGAGGGAGCCCGGCGCTGGATTAAGGTAAGCAAAAAAAAAATTGTTAAACATTTATTCACCGTGGAATAGGGCCCTAGTCACCTAAACGGTGACAAGGGCTCTATAGCGTTAAGAATACATATTTGTATTCCTAATGCTATAGTGTTCCTTTAACCCCTTAAGGATCAAACTTCTGGAATAAAAGGGAATCATGACATGTCACACATGTCATGTGTCCTTAAGGGATTAAGACCAGAATTTCAAAAGAGATAAGTAACTGATTATATTTTTTTTTAAAAATTAAATGGGAAAAACAAAAAAAAGCAAGTTATTTTTTTTAAACAATGTACACTATAAAAGCAGCCAAAATGCTCACAAATATTAAGATAACAAAATACCAACAACTAATGAACTTATCAATTCTCTCAAAACCACAAACCAATTCCTTACTAACCCATAAACATGTTTTAATATATTACCACACATTTTATTAAATTGGCTATTGACCTATCCTATTGTTCCTCTTCTCTACCATTTTCACAATCTGTTCTTATGTTCTTAATTTCTAAACATTTTCTCTTTAAAACATATGACAAGAACAGAACTCTGGGAAGCAGTCGCCTCGACAGAGCCACTTACACCTCGAATCACTATTAGGAACACTCGCAACGATGTGCAAGGTCTGACCGCAACGAAGATGCACCTCCTATCAGAGGTTCAAACCTGTACATGGTCATAATCCTTTAAAGGACCATTATAGGCACCCAGACCACTTCAGCTCAATGAAGTGGTCTGGGTGCCAGGTCCATCTAGGGTTAACCCTGCCTGCTGTAAACATAACTGTTTCAGAGGAACTGCTATGTTTACATTAGGGTTAATCCAGCCTCTAGTGGCTGTCTCATTGACAGCCGGTAGAGGCGCTTCCGCGCTTCTCACTGTGATTTTCACAGTGAGAAGATGCTGCCGTCCATAGGAAAGCATTGAGAAATGACGTCGGAAGAGGGAGGAGAGTCCTCAGCGTCAAGGAAGCCCGGCGCTGGAGAAAGGTAAGCGTTTAACCTCTTCCTCCCCCTAGAGCCTGGCGGGAAGGGGGCCATGAGGGTGGGGGGACCTATTAACACTATAGTGCCAGGAAAATGAGTTTGTTTTCCTGGCACTATAGTGGTCCTTTAAGTTTGTACCCAACCACAGAATGTCAAAACAGTCATTGCAGCATGTCTGACGCTTTACGTTGGTGCCGCATCCTACCCATTCTCTTCTGTACCCCCTATTACCTGAAAAGTACCAATAAAAACAGAATGTTAAAAAAAAATTACACACATATATATATATATATATTATATATATATATACACACACACACGACAAACTAGGGACTACTTTGTCTAATGTATTTTTCCTACACCTGACACTTGTGACCAAAAGGTGGAGCTTAGGGCAAGCTTCACCCTTTGTTAGCTTAACAAAATGGGTATAATTTGTAGGAAAGTGTTTAGAGTGACTTTCTGCCAAAGTGAGTGAAGAAGGGCAAAATAAACAAGGTAGCTATTTATTGGCTACAACATTAATATATAATACAGCGTTCTTTAAAGGAATTGATAAGAAAATGAAACAGGGAAGCTGCAGATCACAATGAGGGTTGTGTATAAAGTGTAACTCGGGGGCAAAGTTCTAAACGTGGAGTAGTCGCCATGGAAAAAAATAGATTGTTCCTTATAACTGCTTTACTTTTAGAACGTTCCACCAGAATTGCCCTTTATACATTACTCCAAAGTTACCACCCCAGTTCGGATCGCCATGAGTTGTTTACGGAATAGGAGAATACAGCAGTACTTTGTTCTCTACAATGCAGGGAATGGGAATTAATGGTCCCCTTTAGCCCCCTGTGACATAGAGGGTGAAATCTCCTTACCCCTGTGATATCGCAAACAGTTAAAGACTCATTACCCCCAGGTGATATTTCAGAGGTTAAAGACCCTTTACTTCAATTCACAGGGTTAAAGGGCCAACTACCCCTTCCCCCATGTTCATATCTCAGAGGCATGGTGACCAATTAACCCCCTCTCCTCCACTACAGAGGGTTAAAGGCCGAGCTCATTGCGAGGCGGGCACTCACCGTCTGCGCGACTTTCAGTGCCAGGATTGGTTTACTCAGATCGGACCCACACAGGCCGGTGGTCTTCTTCTCGTCCTGCCCAGCTGGTACGGTCGTCTGGTGATACACGGGTTCGCTCATGGTGGTCCTGGTCCTATTCCGCGCCTGAGAAACGGGGTTCAGCTGCTTCTTACAGCCCTTCTCCGCGTCCGTTTGGAGAATTTCTTTGTGATTATTGCACTTCCTGCTGCACCTCCTCCCTCGTCCAGTAAAATGGATTCCAACAACGTGAAAGTGAAACTAGTTTAGCAGCGTGACACTGTGGTGTTCGGTGACAGTAATCAGGGGAGAGGCATGACTTTAAGCCATTCCTTCTTCTATGCCTGTATTTCTGTGTCCATGTTGGCTAGATAGACCCATCATTCCATTTGCCACCAATGATGTCTTTACACTCCTATGGTGTCCCCTTGCCAGGAGCCCTCTGCCTGTAAAAGGGGAGAGGGTTTTAAAAAATACAACTGATTACCCTGATATTTTTGCACGCATTAGGGGTTTATATACAAGTATATTGCAAACGAAAAAAATATATTGAGACTATTTACCATATTTGAAATTGTGATTCTTGCATCTGGTGCTTAAAGGGACACTCCAGGCACCCAAAGCACTTCAGCTAATTGAAGTGGTCTGGGTGCTGTGCCCCTATTGCACTTAGTGCTGCAATGTCTAACAGACAGCCACTGGGGGCACTTCCAGATTCATAACGGACTTTTGGTCCGTTATCTGACGCTGGATGTCCTCACGGACCTCCAGCGTCAAATTTTCCCCATAGGAAAGCATTGAATAATGCTTTCCCATGGGGAGATCTAATGCCCATGGAAGGAGCGTGGGTGGAGCCTTACCCAACACCGAGTGACATCGGCGCTGGAAGGGTTTGACATGGGATGGGGGGCAGGAGGGAGGGGGCACTGCATGATCCTGCAGTGCCAGGAAATGAGTTTGTTTTCCTGGCACTCGATAGTCCTGCCATCATGATCACATCCGTGATTTAAAGTGGTCATGGCGCCTGGAGTCTGTATGTGCAACATTTCGCTTTGAAACCCGGCACTGCGCATATTGAGTTTAATCCCTCTGCTGCAAACGGTGTAATTCCACCCCTGGCAGTGTGTCACAGGGGTATCACTAGCCATCCTGGAACTAAATACTGGATAATATCAATGTACAGAATTACATTCAAGTGACACTCTCAGCCAATGAATGGCTGGCATGATTGACTTCAGGCCTCTGCAGAAGTCATCTCTGGAGGACCCTCAGCACCATGTGGGGACCCAGGTAAGCATAGAAATCATTTTTTAAAAGTTTGCCCCAGTAGCGTCAACAAAGCCACTGTACTACTGGCATCATATTCACTACAGCAGGATGTAATGGTTATATTGCTAATTTTAGTTACCCTTTAAAAGAGCCTAACCGGGGCGTGACCGAAAGCCGATCGGAATCCATAATCATCATTAATATTTGTATAGTTTATGCTTTCTAAACTATACGTTTTATTATTTTAACGTTGCTACTTATTCAATGGAACTATGTCACAATGCTGTGGTCAGTCTACTGGCTCACTATTGAAACTTGAGAAACACACCATACTGTCTTAATTACAAGATTTTTTTACATCAAAAGACTCTGTAAATGCCAACTAAGCAAAGTGTACATGGATTGTATCCACTGCAATTGTGACACTTTGTAACACACTTGAAAAACCCTTAAAGGCACATTCTTAAAGGACTTTAGCTTGCTGAAAAGTTTTGTGTCAAAAGTGTCCTTTTTTCCACGCCCCAGTGGAACTGATACTCAAAAACAAGTACGACCCTACCCATAGAAGTCCCTGGCGTTTAAATACGGCGCTACTGCGTGATAGCAACTTTACTGAGGAACTAAAGGCAAGCTTGACGCATTATTTCCAAACCAACGACTCCACAGACACCTCCAGAACCACCTTGTGGCAAGCACACAAAGCGGTCATAAGGGGTTTGCTCATACGGAGAGCATCCTTTTTAAAACAACAGGCCAATTCCCAATTAATAGTTGCCCAAAAAGACCTCCAGCGTCTTACCTCTCAAAATCAACACACACCCACTAAGGAACTGAGAACACGTATTGTACAGATAACAGAACAAATACACAAACTATCCCTAGAACAAGTGGGACGACATTTGACTAGACTTAAAGCTAGGACCTACACACAAGGCAACAAAGCAGGCAAACTCCTAGCACAGAGAATTAAGACACAGCAGGCGGCCCAAAAGATAGCATACATGACATCCCCTCAGGGACACAAAATAGTAGCACCCAAAGACATTAGTAACGTTTTCGCCAAATACTATGAGTCACTGTACAATCTCAGAAATGACCGGTACACCCCTCAACCGAGGGAACCGAATATAAGCGAATTCTTGGAAAAAATCAAATTGCCCAGCTCACCTCTGCCCAGCAAGATTCCCTCTCGGCCCGCATCACGGAACCTGAAGTGTTCAAAGCCATAGCCACATTACAAGCGGAAAAAGCCCCAGGCCCAGATGGCTTTGCCAATGGGTATTACAAAAAATTCCAACAGATTTTAGTCCCGCACATAACACACGCATTTAACGAGGCAGTTGCAAAACGAGCGTTGCCACAAGAAGCTCTGAAAGCCCATATAATCACGCTCCCCAAACCAGGTAAACCACCAACGCACCCACAAAACTTTCGCCCGATTTCGTTACTCAATACCGATACAAAACTTTTTGCCAAAATATATGCTACCAGATTAAGTGACATACTCCCACAGGTGATACATAATGACCAAGTAGGGTTTGTGAAGGGACGCCAGGGAGGCGACAACACAAGGAAGGTCATAGACATTATACACAGTGCACGCAAACAGCGAATGGAATGCTTAGTCATTTCGTTGGATGCGGAAAAAGCCTTTGACCGCTTGGGCTGGGGGTTTCTGGAAGCGGTCCTATGCAAATTCGGATTGCCGGAGATGTTCCGCTCAGCGGTCGGGGCCCTATACCACAGCCCATCCGCACAGGTGATCACAGCGGGTTTCACCTCTGAAACCTTCTGCATAACTAATGGAACGAGACAGGGTTGTCCGCTCTCCCCGCTGCTGTACGTACTAGCTCTGGAACCACTGGCGGCACTTATCAGAGCAAACAAAGCTATTCATGGGGTCCATATAGGGGACAGAGAATTTAAGATAAATCTATTCGCAGACGACATCCTATTAACGTTGACTCAGCCCATGATATCCCTCCCGAACCTAATGGCGACCATCAAGGAATATGGTCTAAATTCCTATTACAAACTAAACGTCACCAAATCCCAAGCCATGGGTATAGGAATCCGAGAGGACCTTCTGAGACAACTCAGAGACGCCTTCTCTTTTGATTGGCGGACAGACAATATCACATTCTTAGGGATACACATACCCCCTCATCTGCCCAACTTGTTCAAACTCAACTTTGCCACACTTCCCAAATCGTTTGCAGATACTCTGCGAACATGGGAGGGAAAATTCCTATCATGGCTAGGTAGACTAGCCGCCTTTAAAATGACCCTACTTCCCAAGCTTCTCTACCTCCTCCGCACAATTCCCATACGAATACCAGGAAAATACTTAGCCAAGTTACAAACAATGATGGTAAGATTCATATGGGCGAACCGTAGAGTACGGGTAGCTACAAAAATTTTGCAGAAACCAGTGATGGAGGGGGGTTTGGGGATGCCGAATTTACGGACGTATTACTGGGCCACACAGTTGGCGGCTATTGCAACTTCACACTCGGGGACGGAACCACCTCAATGGGTATACATAGAGTCTCAATGGGTCTGCAAACATGGACTAAAGCACATATACTGGACACCTCATACACCAAATTTGACATCCACAGATATGCTACCCCCAACGAGGGCTATGCTACAAATATGGGAGAAGGCAGGGGCCGCACAAGGGGGAAGAGGTCCTAACATAGGAAACATGCCAATAGAGAGTATCCAAGCACACATCCACAACTTCGACCACACACCATGGCTCGCAGGGGGTTGCACGCACTTACGACAAATATGCGAGGGAGGTAAAATAATACCATTCCCGACACTGCAGTCTAGGTTTTCTATACCGGCCAAACACATTTTTCCCTACCTGCAGCTAAAATCCTTTGTGTCCGCCCTCCCAAAATGGGACAACCCTGAAACACAGCCCAAACACCCCCTGGAACAATTGTGCTTAACCGAGAAGACTCCCACAAAAATCATCTCCAAATTATATATGACCCTGACGAACACACATGCCAACCCCCAAACGGACTTCAGAGACAAATGGCAAGCAGACCTGGGGCGCGAGTTAGAAGACAGAGATTGGAAACTAGCCTTCAGAGCACACAAAAGCCTCACCATGTGTGCCTCTCACCTAGAAACAATGAGGAAAATCTTATATAGATGGTACATGGTCCCAGACAGACTTGCTACAATATATCCAGGCACCAACCCAAATTGTTGGAGAAACTGTGGGGAACGGGGTACGATGTTCCACATATGGTGGACCTGTCCAGCTCTGACCCCATACTGGAAACAAGTGGAGGAAATTGTTGCTCACACGTTAGGGAACACATACCACTTGACACCTGAACAAGGCTTACTATTCATGAACCTAAATCACTGGCACAACCCAGAAAGGCAACTAATATTCCAAACTTTAATAGCAGCAGTGACTCTGATAGCCAAGTACTGGAAACAACCCCGACCACCGACCAAACAAGCACTGATAAGTAAAATCTCCACGAATTGGGAATACGAGCACATGGCTAGTAAATATTTAAGCACGAATCATAGAATTAGGGAAGCGTACACTATATGGAAGTTATACAGAACACAGCATAGTACCACTTGATACAAAGTGGGACACCGGAAGGGATCCTCATACACGCATTTAGGTGAAGATCCCAGGCCGAACCAAAGCCACCAAATGTGCACTCCTACATATAGCAACATAGGTGCAGGGATGGTTGACCACCGAGTGCGACCAATCTACATCAGGACAACCACGTCTCCACAAAGCAACTTATATAGGGAACACACCTCACTTGAGTGCAGGCTTACGCAAAAAAGTGAAGCTCAGACATGTTATAATAGTTTAAGTTTATAACCCTGGTGGTATATGTTATACCACGACCCACCCACCCCGACACCCCTACCTTCGGTGTTTCACATTCCGTTGGCAGCCACGCGCAACTCGAGCGCCACGCCAAGTTAGCCCTTGGAAACAACAAGTCAGCAGCTAAAAGAACTAGAGGGTACAAGGGAAACCCCATAATTACAAAGAGATACAAGTGGGTACCCGAACATTACCACTACTCAACCTCTAAACCCCAGGGGTTGTCTCTAATGGTACTTGTTGTCTAATGTGTACATATATTGTTGTCATGCATGACTACTACACG